ACTACCCAAAATTCAACTACCCATATTTTCCGGAGATCTCTTGCCATGGTCCACGTTCTTGGCCACCTTCAAGCACTCAGTTGACAACGCACCGATTGCAACGGTGCACAAAATGTCCTACTTACTCAGCTGCCTACAAGGGCCGGCTGCGCAGGCCGTCTCCGGCTATGCGCTCGAAGAGCATAACTACAACGGAATCAAGGACACACTATTTCGAAGGTTCGGCGACTCAGTTGCTCCAAGACGAAAGCTCCACAACGAGCTACAATCTCTCAAACCCACCAACCGCTCATCCTTCTGTACAACCGTCAACTCAGTCCTCACAATTATACGCCAACTCAAACAACGGGGCGAAAAAACAACAACGTCAACGAGCGACTTCTGGAAACGCTAGTTGAGGGCAAATTACCTCAATGGGCGCTGCTAGAAATATTCAACGACAAACAACGTGCTTCACAATGTAACGTCAAACAACTCTGCTCAAAACTTCAAACCATGGTGAAGATACGAGAGCAAATGAAATAGTCAACTCCAGCCGAACGATCGAAACCCGTCATACACCCAATCAATCAGCTCACCAAATCAGAGTTCATTCGCAGCAGTTCATTCAAACTCCAATCAACATCGTCAGAAAGCCAACAATTACACGTCCAAGAAGAAGAAGGAACCCAGTGCATATCCGTTCTGCAACGGACGACACTGTGGTGCACAGTGTGAGCAATTCCACACAGTGGAAAGTCGTAGAAACCGCGCAAAGCAACACAGTGGAAAGAAACTTTGCTTGCGGTGTCTCAAGAAAGACCACTTTTCAAAAGACTGTGCCAACAAGCGACTCTGTTACTACTGTCGTAGCTCCGGCCATCATCAAGCGTTGTGCAACAATGCGCAGCCTCGTCAAATCGTCTCAATGGGCCATCAACGTTCAACAGGTAGCAGTCAAGCCATATAGCAATCAAACCCGCAATCAACAATGACAGCCGTCGCCAACGGAACCAGCAATGAAGAAGTGGTCATGACGCCGCATGAAGTTAATGCCGTATTATTCGGAAAAAGGAACTTCACAGACATAGAACATGCGACAACGCAAACTCTACTCCCAACCGCGTACGCTGAAGGCTTCAACCCAACAAATCCTCAACTACGATACGCAGCCGTTATATTGTAGGACTGGTAAAGATTTATCAACGGTGAAACGTTTTAAAAAAACGATTTTATGTATGGGTTACGACGTATCATCCGTGTGCCATTTGTCGCGACCGATGTCGCGAGAAAAACAAGTAGCTAAAAAATACAAAAAAATGTTTGTCTGATACATTAATTAATTGTGAATGATTATCTATATCACTAATTAATTGAGAATAATGTTGTTTGATGTATATTATTGTATTGTATGTTCTGTATATCTTCAATAATTGTACGATGCAAATAAAATTTAGTTAACTTGAGAGATTGTATGCTTCATAATATTCGATTGATTTGTACATAATTATGATTCACCACAATGATGTACTATTTTTAAATTCGAATACATCATTGTATTTAGTAATGCAACCCAATCTCATTCTATTTTTAGCTGTATTTATCTCCTAAATGATATTATACATAAATTGTCTTTATCATATTTTCGAAAAGAACGATAATCGGAAATGATGATATAGCTTCATCGTGCCATCTGGAGGCTAGATGGAATCATATGTGCATGAATGATGTCATGCACAGAAAGATTCATATGGGCTCCAGACATCCGACAAGGCCTTGCATCTAAACGCCGATTACCGTACTCGACCAATATCAGCATTATGTTGGAGAATTTATTATTGTATTTCGAATTTGCACTATCATGGCGCTATAGGCGTCAAGTTATAATTTTAGGCAATCTCATAATCTTACCCGCTCATGATATCTTCATATAAATATCTCAACTAATTAGTCATCTTCATTTATTCTTTCTACATTCAACAGTTGTCTTGCCGCCTCTTTTGGATCTGTACTGCTGACCCACTTCACCATCCTTACAAGCTGTTGCTCATGTAACGACTAAAATTGGTTGTTTGCGTGTGTATGGTGTGTTTTAAACTATTAGTCGTTATTATAGTCAATTGTGGGTGTAAAAGAAATTTTGTAAGCTGCATATTGGTTTGTGGGTAACTGATGTAAATTGGTTGTTGTTTATGAGTAATGATGAGAGTACAACGTAATAATAATACAATCAAACAAAATTATAAGGATTAGAATGAAAAGAGATAGAGGATAATAAATTTGACAACAGTGAATACGATGAAATTAATTAAAACAATTGCACCAAGCCATGTTTGACTTTAACTCTATTTTCGAACTTTGACTTAATATGATTTTGAATACGTAACGAATGAAGAGAAGGATACTTGATAAACCAGTTAAAAACTTCATGATTTGTCTGGTGCAATTCAAATATAAATGAACCAACTGTAAGCGAATAATGATTCGTCGTCTATCGTTCCGTGGATTACTTGAGCTCCGGAGTTGCAGTATTGATGCAGTTGAATTTCTGATCAATGAGTGCACTCACGATAGAAAGCGGTTTGTGACGGAACGAGGACTAAGGGTGTAGGGATAAGGGCGAGGGTGGATAAAGGGTCTGTTGGACCTTCGTTGGTTGTGGACAAATACGTTTTGCGTCCGTTGGCGAACACGTTGACGAATATGTCTTGATATTCTTGGCAGCAGCCCGACCTGTTTGACTGTTGATAGTGATTGAATACAACACAATTTGAAACCAGTGCGAGGACTAAGTTTGAGGTGATCTTTGTTCACGAATCTTGATTATTGCTGTATTGTCTCAACGACTTTTGATTGCTTTGCTTTCTCGCAGTTTTGTTTGTGGATCACCTCAAACTTGGGTAATTAAACCATTGAAATTACAACGACGATAAGGACAATGGCGCGGAATGTCACACAATTATAACGTACATTTGAATGGTCATAAATAAAGTAGTAAATCAAAGACGAACAACTTGTGAAGTAAATGAATAAATATTTGTAATCACGAAATGATTAGTAAAGCAACGGATGGTACAGCTGACTGCAGTGAATACAACTGAATTTGAATATAGATTTGACAAATATTGTTGAAAGATTGTAAAGGGTAGATTTGAGATAAGATAAGATAACGACATAAGGTGTTTGGTTATGTGCATATAGGTGGGTGTTGTTATGACGTGATTTTGCTTGGAATTTTTTGCGGCTGATGTTCAGTCGCAACAGCTCATGCAGACAAAGTTTCATCCAATTCGCGTTAATCCTCTCCGTGGTTTCTCTGACCAACTTATCATAAACGTATTGAAGTTTCTTATTTTTGTCGCCAACCTTGAACCGATTGTTGTCCTCTTCGATCATTAAAACCTTTTCCTCACTTTTCTCAGAATCTTGTTTCTGGTGTTCAAATTTTGATCCTTGGGAATCTAACATGAAATCTCCCTCACTAGTAAACTTTGGGTTAATCCAACCACATTCAATGATTTTTGTTGGTTCCTTAGGTTTCAGTACGACGGCCAGTTGTATCTTATCGATTATAATGTGATCATCGATCAATTCAGCTTCATACGTTCCTTGATAGTCATATTGACATCTCTCACTCTTTTCTGGTAATCTCCATACAAATGTGCCTTCTGCGGTGACACATTCTTCACGCTCTAACTTACACTCAGTATCAATTCTCAAGGAGGTAATCACGTTTTTGCCATTGTGATACAAGAGTTTTCCTGTCTTCATCATCAGTTTAGTGTTAGGCTTACATCTCTCCCCAATCCAGCCAAATGAGTACTGGGAACTCTCCATGGATTTCCATATCCCACTTGCAACTTTTCTCACCTTGATACCAAACAATTCTTCTTCCTTCCCAAGGGTCCAGCATTCCTGACTACTCAAGTCTTCGATTCTACTCACGTCTTCTTGCATTGACATTCTTAATCGGAAAAAGCTATGAGTGCATATTTGATGTACTGTTTTTGTACATTGCATAGCTCTTATTATCGAAAATCTGCGCGTCGCTAAGGACACGCTAACATGCCCGGCTCGTTCTCCATTTGTATTTGGACAGGCTGTAAGTTGTGGGAGTCGTATGNTCTTATTCTCGAAAATCTGCGCGTCGCTAAGGACACGCTAACATGCCCGGCTCGTTCTCCATTTGTATTTGGACAGGCTGTAAGTTGTGGGAGTCGTATGATTTTCGCTTTTCCATCACACGTGAATGCATCGTTTGCTACCGTTTGCTATAACAACATAACCAACACTCCGTAAGCAGAAATTTCTCTCGCGTGAGATTATTTACGAGCAACTCGCTTTCCACTAGTATCTGCGCTCGTCTTATCTACTTTTCTTGATCGCAACTCATAACAATCCCGAGTAACGGTTTCGTTTCCCTTTTGTCCGTCATCAGTATCACTCTGAACCACCCTTTTCAATTCTAGAGGGTATAGTAGATTTATTGATCTTTCCAAATTCCCGCCCTTTGATGTTCTCAATACTGCACTCCTTGTATGATTATCCTCACTTGATTTTAATGATTTTATAATTCCCATCTTCCAGTGGCCTCTAGGAATATTTTCTT